GCCCATTGGCCACTTGTTTATTTTAGAAATCTTCTCACTTGGTATGAAGTGCCAATGATCCCCTTTTGGTGTCTGTTTTTATCTTTTTAAGCAGAATAATGTTAGGGTTGAACAGGGTCCTGAAGTGAGGAAGACAGTCCCTCTCCCATTGAACTGCAGACAGCAGCAGAAAGCAGAGTAAGATTCAGACTTGATTGTATCTTTGCTTGCCAATTGATGTTGGCTGTACCAAGCTTTAACCTCTGGACTTTCGACAGATTTCAGTTCCTCTTTAATTCAGAAGAGAAAGAACAATGGAGGACCAAGGTCATTTATATAAGAAGAGTCTATTCCTGTCTGTGTTTTGAAGGCATTGTGTTTCAAAAGTGGTAAGCAACAAGCTGCTTTTTACTGAAGCTTCTCACTTGATATGAAGTGAAAGTGTTTTCCCTTTTATGTCTCTGTTTTATCTTTTTAAGCAGAAGAAAGTTAAGACTGACTAGGAATTTTAAGTGAGGAAGAATTCCTCTCCCATTCCGCTGCAGCCATGAGGAGAATATTTGTACTTCTTTTTTTACCTATGGAACTTCATCAGGACCCACTTTAACAAGCAGGAGTCTCACAAGTATTTTGGTTTAATTATTTCTGACATATTTCTGCCCTCCCTTCTCTAAAGTAACTATGCATTCCTCTCCTTGCCCCAATAATCCACTTTATTCCTATTAAAACCTTATTGTCTTAATTTGCTGTTTGATTTTCCAGCTAATAATGCTGTAATGATTATGATCATTTGAGTTTCCTTGATTATTACATTGCTTTGAATTATTGCTTACTGTATCTTCTCTCCATCAAGTATTTTAAAGTGATTTGACAAGGGAAGAAGGAAGAAGACCAGTGCTGACCAAGAGAAGAAGAAGAGTCCATTTGCCAAGCTTTGTCTAGCAGACAATATCTGGTAATGGAGTGAGTAAGAAGCTCTTTTTTTTTGCAATTTTCAAATTTTCTTATACACTTATTCAAATAATAGGTTCAGGGTGATTTACCTTCTGCAGCACGACAGCAACCATGTTGCACTCTAAAGCATCCTGAGGGATGTCCTGATTCAAATTAGGTTACATCATGATCCCTTTGGACTAGGATTAGTAAAAATATGAATTAAGATTTTTATGCGCCTGAATTTTTTCGGGGCGCATATTGTTTTTGTCCTTTCTGTTTGTCTGTTTGTCTGTCTGTCTGTTGTCAACTTTATTTGTTTTTTTAATGCTTTATTTTTGAAAATGTTTATACTTACAAAAGAAACAAAATACACACCCTCACACACCACACGCACTCTGTGCACCTTTCCCAAAATACCAGCTTTCATAATTACACCTTAAGTAATAATTGGAATTATGTATGACAAATCAAATCAAACATTGCCCATTTACTATACATTTTAGTTCTACAATGAAAATTGCTCTCACAATATTTTTCAATTTTCCTGTAAAACTTAAAAATGTTAACAGTTTCTGTAAATTTAGGTATAGTACATTGAGTTTTTGAGTAATACAAATACTTTTTTCCTAATAAGATGAGAAAATTTTCTAAACAACTTCCTTCAATATTACCCAGCATCATCTTTTGTTTTGAAATTACATAGTCATTTTCAAATGCTTGATACCAATTTTTTCCAAAAAATAGTTACATGTTTACACTCATAGAAAAGATGAATCAATATTTCTGGATCTGTTTTACAGAACGAGCAAAGATTATTTTCAGCAACTTTTATCTTGTGAAGAAAAGAAGTTGTGGCAAGGAAGCCCATAAGAATTCTATATTGAAAGTAAATTATTGTCCTTTGTGCAAATTGAAGCATTCCGAAGAAAAAATTCCCAGTGTTTTTCTGTAATAGGTTCATTTAAATAAATCTCCCATTTTAACTTTCTGGATTCTGGTGCCACAAAATTCTTATCTTTTATAATTTTATACAGAAATTTTATACTTGTCACAGACATCATTTTTTGTATAACACATTTCTCTGGTGCTGCAAGTTGATTGCCTCTTTCCGTCATATAAACAGGTACTTCCCTTTTTACTCTTGCTGGTACTCTTGATACAATATTAAAATAATTTAAAAAATTGTTAGTACCAACTATTTTTTTAACATCATTAAAACACCTAAATTTTCCATCATCCGACAACAAGTCTTTCAATACTTTAATACCTTTTTCCACCCAAGTCTTGTAAAAAGTCCATTTTTTGATATCAACAAAATTTCTAATATCAGTATATAAATAATCTGTAGCACTCAAAGAATCTTTTTTAACAATTATAAGAGCTTTTATAACATCTTTCCAAAAATCTTTGCCTATATAATTCAAAAATTCTGAGAGTTTTTCTTTGGTTAAATAAAAAACAAAGTTAAAATCTTTTTGATTAAAAATACAGGATAATAATTGCTGCCATGCTCCACTGTTGTCTGAAAGGACTCTCTTGACCCATTTAAGTTTTATATATGAAATAAAGGAGGATAAATGGATCATGTTTAGTCCACCTTCTTCAATTTTTCCTATCAATGTATTTCTTTTTACTTTTTCCACCTTATATGCCCAAATAAATTGAAATAAAATGTTATTGATCTCATTAAGTAATTCCTTTGATGGATTTGGAAGAGCTGAGAATAGGTGTACAAATTTTGGAATAACAAGGGTTTTAATGACTGTTATCTTTCCTATTGGGGTCAAATCTCTTTTTGCCCAGGATGCAAGCAATTTTTGATAGAATTTATTTTGGGTCGATAATTGACAGAAACAATATTTTCTAAGTTTTTTGTGAAAATTATTCCTAAGAGCTTAAAGGTATCAGCACTCCAATTAATTTTTAAGTCATCACATAGAGTTTGTTTTGATCCTGCCTTTCCTCCTAACCATACTGCTTGAGATTTTGAAATATTAAGTTTCAAACCAGAAGCATTTCCAAATTTTTCGATTATTTTCATTGATTCTCTCAAAGACTTTTCACTTCCATCTAACGTTAAAAAAGAGTCATCTGCATATTGTCCTAGTTTATTTTCTTTCCCATTAATCGATATACCTTTTATGTGTTCATTATTCTTCAGTGAGATTGCAAGTAGTTCTACAGTAATGATAAAAATGTATGGTGCCAAAGGGTCTCCCTGTCTACATCCACGTTCAAGATTAAAAAAGGAGGATAAGCTACCATTATTTATCACACAACTTGTGCTGGTTGAGTAAAAGGTTTGAAACCATTTAACTAATGAATTTCCAAAATTAAAAGACTTTAATGCTTTAACAATAAAATCCCATTCTAAGGAATCAAAAGCTTTTTCGAAATCTAATAAAAGGAGCAAACCAAATTGTTTTTTATCTTTAAGGTAATCTATTAAGTCGTATAAAAACCTGGTGTTTTCACCTATGAAACGCCCTTTTATAAAACCTTTTTGGGTATCACTTATAATACTGGACAATACATTCTTAATGCGATTTGCTATGGTACTAGAACCAATTTTGTAATCTACATTTAACAATGAAATAGGTCTCCAATTTTTCATATAACTTCTATCCTTTTCCTCTTTTGGAATGCATGTAATTACCCCCTGAGATTGAAACTGTGAAAGTTTTCCAGTTATATACCCTTCATTTAAAGATTTCAAAACAAAAATACCTATATCTTTCCAGAAAAACTTGTAAAATTCCACTGTAAACCCATCCGATCCTGGGGATTTTTTGTTTTTCATATTTTTTAATGTTGTTGTGCATTCTTGAAGTTTCAAAAAACCTTCACAGTTGTCCCTTTGTTCATCCGATAATTTGACATTATGTTGTAAAAAGATATTTTCACACAAAAATGTGTCATTAAGGTCTTCCGTCTCCAACGGAAGACCTTCTTGTTATTCTTCGGTTTCTTTTTCCCTATTATTATTATTATTATTATTATTATTACCGATTTTGTGCACTCGATTTCTCGTAAACTACTGGACCGATTCTCATGAAACTTTAACATCTGATAGGTACTGATCTGAATCTTATTGGAAATTTTTTTCGTCGATGACGTCACTTCTGGTCGTGAGATATGGACAATTTTCTGATTTTAAAATGCAATTTTGTCTTGATTTAGTAGCGAAAACTGCTTTAGATATGAACTGAAGATTAATTGGAGATGATAGTTCATGACTTATAGCGTTGCAGAATCGCCTTTTCGTGCGACGTCAATACTTCCGGTCGAAACCGGAAGCGTATTTAAAGAATGTAATTTTTCAACTTTTCTTTTTTAATATTTTTGTTTTAGAATTGAATAGAGATCATTTAGCAGAAGCCAAATATGTAATTTGTTTGAAAATCGAAAAAGCCAATCTCGAGATATTTGCATTTGAAAACGCGAAGCGGCGATCCCGATGGCCGAATGGTAAGCGCGTTGGATTGTCACGCGGGCGACCCGTGTTCGATCCCCCGTGTGTCCAAAAAATTTTATCACTTTTTCTGCTCGATTTTTCGATTTTTATTAATTTTAGACCATTTTGCAACAACATATTTTCAACTTTTAAGCATATCTTGCGTATTAAGGGGTCACAAGGGGCCAGAATATAAATCTTTGACGCTTCATATCTTGAAAAGAGGGAATATTTTGATAAGCAATATTGAACAAAAGATTGTCAGAATAATGTTTTAAACAATATGCATACTTTGAATTTTTGTAAAACGGCCCCATTAAGGACTTGTAGGAAGGCCCCTAAATATTTCCATTTAGCATATCTCCTCAACGAATAGAAATCTCTGAATAAGTGTTGAACTAAAAATCTTTTAAATCCCAAGACCTTTCATTTGATATCAAGAAAAAGGGGCTGACCCCTCAAATTAGGGGCTCAGAGGGGCCAAAAGTTTTTTATATATAACTCTCTAATGATCAATATTTTCTTATACATTACCGAAGCTAAAGTATTTATCTTAACGATTTGCAACAATATATGATAATAATTTGAAAATATGTTACATAATTAGGGGTCACAAGGGGCCCAGTCTGACTAAAGACAGCCCCTACTATATCACTTCGTTAGTAGGGTCTGAAGAACTCTCATAAGGGTCAATCTCTGAGTGAACTTTCTGTTAGCCAATGAAATCGCGGTTTCCGAATTCTTGCCTGGTTAATGGCTGGTTAGTCGGAACTCACTGGGTTTACCTTCGATAAACGTAATGTACCGAGGAGTTACAAACGCAAAATAAAGAAAATGGCGCAGTCCATGACGCCGAGGAAAACATGTCTTTTGGGAGATATGTGCATTATTTGTGGCTTTTCCTTTGTACTTATTGAAAAAACAGCAGACGGAAAAGAGAATATTCACAAATTTTATGACACTAAGTTACGATTAAATAAGGAGAGAGAAGAGTGCATAAAAAAAGTAACGGAAACTTCACTCGACCTCGGCCTCGAAAGTTGCACTAACGCAGGCATCTGTAGAAAGTGCTGGAGGTCGGTCGAAAGTATAATCAAAACAGAGGAGAAAAATAATGCAGCAAAACATAAACTTAGACAAAGCTTAGATCAGGTATATAGAAATCATGTATTGTCACTACCATCTCCTAGACGGAAATCCATCACCAAAAGAATGCTTCGGAGCCCAGACCCACCTGGAGACGCCAGTCGTCGGGCAAAATCCCTTGTCACAGTGTCGTATATCTCGCCTGTTAAATTGACCCCCTTTTGTGAGATCGGGAATAAGGAAGTCCCACAGCGGTGTGAGGTAACAATTTTTAGCACATTTACATACTATTAGCCTATAATTTATTTTCACTCCCCGTATCATTTCATTTCAGTTGACATTTAGTTGAACACTAGCTTAATTAATTACCATCTTAAAACTATTTTTCATTTGAAAATTTCTATTCACAGATGCAGAGAACTATTAACTTTAACAAATGTAAATGTTGCTGTAAACCAAACAGATTCTAATGTCTGTATATGTATTTTTAGCTCACCTGAGCTTTCAGTGAGCTTTTCTGATCACCTGTTGTCCGTCATCTGTTCCGTCTGTAAACTTTTCACATTTTCAACTTCTTCTCAAGAACCACAGAACCGATTTTTACCAAACTTGGTACAAAGCATCCTTGGGTAAAGGGAAATTAAAATAGTTAAAATCAAGGGCCAAGTCCCTTTCCATGGGGAGATAATCAAGAAAATACAAAAATAGGGTGGGGTCATTAAAAAAATCTTCTCAAAAATCATTGGGCCAGAAAAAATAAACTTATGTGAATCTTGGGGTAGTATAGATTCTAAATTGTCCAAATCATTACCCCTGGTGATAGGGTTTGGTCACAATTGCTATTACAAAGGGGGGAAATCTGATAAAGAACAGCATGGCCAAAGTTTGTCAGGTGAGTGATGTGGCCCATGGGCCTCTTGTTCAATAGATGTTTTAGATTTCTTATCACCAATATTTATTTTCAATGTTGTGTTTTATAACATCATTAGGTCACCTGAGTTTAAAGCCATATGCTCAGTGAATGATGTGGCCCATGTGCCTCTTATGTTTCATTCAAGTTAACTGCAGAACTGTTGCTCTCTCCAAAAAATAATATTGACAGACTGGTTTGCTACCATGCCACCCATTGAAAAAAATGTATACCGGTATTAATTGCGCACAAAAAAGTATGCTGTTTCTCGATTTATTTCTCAATTGTCATCTTAAAATATTATTTCTACCCATGTGTTTCTAACATATTCTTTATCATGTTTATTTAATTCGATCGTATGCACTTTGTGCAGATGTCAATTACGAGAATACTTCGTTTAGGAGAAAGAAATGTTTTTAAATCTATCTTTTTCACAATTGAGGAAAGAATTTGACAGAATTAATCCAGAACTAAAAACAACTTTTTGTCTGCAATAAACATACACTTTTTTCATTGGTTAGCACTGTAGCTCACCGGTCTTTTTCTGCAGCTACATTAAAGGTATATGATTTATGGCATTCCATTGTAGGCGATATGCACCTTGACATACAAAAGTGCTTCATCTGGAGACAGAGGAACGTTTGCATACTTCAGAAATTTTCTAAATGCCAGGAATGTGAAAGGTGAAGTCAAAAATTCCTACAGAGCTCACAAGTTACTACTATATACCATATTTGATGCAATGTGTTATGTGCTGTTCCTGGGTGAATTTGGACTTAATAGCACAGAGGAGAAAATACCTGTGCCAGATCTGAGTAGCTCTGAAGAAAAAATTTCCTGGATTAATGAAGTGAGTGAAAAAATAGTGAAAAAATGGTTCTTTGAAAATACTGATTTAGTAGAAGAATTGAGAAATGTTTTCGAAGATGAGCACCATGATGAAAACTACTGGATCAACACTGCTGTTGAAAATCGATTTCAGTGCCACAACTGTGACAGAAGTTATGCTTTTATCGAGAGCTTGAAGACTCATGAATCTCGAATGCATGGGTATGTTGACTCCTCTCCTAAAATTAGTAAAAAGACTGAAAACAAAGATGAACTTTACGAATATGTTGTTCATTTGTTTAAATTAGGTGCCCTTCACAAGAACTTAGACACCGCAGTGGATATGGGTGACGGTCACCGATCTGTAAGGAGTGCCAAGTACGAATTACCGATCTATAACAAAACCAACAAAACCAAGTATCTTATAGGTAGCATACATTTGACTGCGTTGGTCTCTGGCACACTACCACCAAACAAACAAGAACAATTAATAACTAACAGATTTGTAAACCTAAGTGGTGGTGTCAACAACAACATGGCATTGGATGAATATGTGGAGCTCTTAAACAGAGACACAAAGCAGGCATGCAGTGGACATCAAACCAAAACAAGCATACTTAAGCATTCCAAGGAATATCCTCATCTCATAGATGCCATCAAACAAATTGACATGATAAATGAAATCAAAAGCAGGAAAGGATTTCATAAACACCCAAGTTACAAGAAAGATGTTTTGAAAGCAGCAAATGAATTAATTGAAATTTCTGCTTTCACTGAAATACCAGGTAGAACATTGACTTGTCGAACTATTGTTTGTCCCAGAAATCCATTCGTAGATGCATACAAAAAACTTCCAACAATGATTTTTAGACATTTACCAACATTGCCCTTCTGTCGCTTGAGAAACAAACATATCTAAGAAAAACTGCATTCTTGTGAATTAAATTTTTGTTAAATGGAGAGAATTGAACTTGATAAAAACATTAAATGAGACAAAGATACACTCTAAATTAATTGTAATTTAAATTTCAATGTATATCATAATAAAATTCATTAACATGAAAAATGTTTAATATAAATTTATTAGCAATCATCATTATCTGAAAAGTTAAAAAATTGTTCAGAGTTTGATTCATAAAAGTATGAAATTGTTTCACTGTCACTACTGTTATTTCCATCTTCAGCTTGGTCCTCTGAGGTGAAACAATTCAAAAGTTTTTCAATTGGTAATGAAATACATTGTCCACAGGTACACAATTTAGAACAAATGTCACAACAGTGGTGTTGATTTAAAGACTTTTTCACTGTTTCCATTTCAGCACCGGAATGGAAATTTTCCATAAGGGTTTGTCGCCTGCAAACATCTGTTCGTAAAAAAGTCTTAACCTCTGTATCTAAAAGTTTACATTGGTAGGAATTATACAACACAACTGCTACAGATGGTAACCCATCTCTACCTATTCGTCCCATCTCTTGAACAAGGTCTGTTATGTTCTAATTCGTTTCACTCAAACGAACATAAATTATTTACAATCAAAACAAGAACACTTGTCTACGTAGGAAATGGAAGCGCTTGCTTGCCAATATTTATTAGACGTATACATTTACAAAAAACAAGTCTTCAATGGTACCGATTCTCTACCTTCCTTCTACAATATATCAAAAATATAATTAATCACACATAACAGTACAAAATGCATTTTTAACACAATGCTTTTATATGTCCTCACTTCGCTGATTAAATGTGCTATTTTTTATAACGTAATATAATGCATGTATGAACACAATTATGCTTCCCTCGCCGCCCAGGAAAAACCATAGATAAAAAACAACATCGATTTATGTTGAAAAAACTATGGAAACCTGTAAGTCCGCAGCAATTGCGAGGTAAACAAAATGAATGGCGGACTCATTCTCACAAACTTACGTACGTATCATATATTATAATGTACAATTAATCGACTAGTTTAAGTAAAACCTATGCAAAATGAATACAAGTTAGAACTATCTGTAAACACATTTCGACTATATGTAGTTAATATGTACCCTTACACAACAATCTTACATTTATATCAAATTTTACATAAAATTATCTAGAGCGACTAAGCAAATTGTTTCCCATCTTTGACAATTAATCTGTTGTGTACAAAACTTTTAATTTTCTTGAAATGAAAACAATTACTTTCTTTATTAAACAAAATACTAGTAAAGGGTTGAAGTAAGAGGGTGGGTGGGTGGGTGTGAATGTCGCAAAGCAAAGCCTTCGAATGAGTTAAAATCGTGATTAAAGTGAATACCTGTTCACCCGTTCTACAGGTATCGACCTTTAAATACTGACCAATAGCTACTGTCGCTATTATTAGCACATAATAAACAAAAGCACGTGTTCCTAGTACATATGATAAATAAATTTATGTTCTAATTCGTTTCACTCAAACGAACATAAATTATTTACAATCAAAACAAGAACACTTGTCTACGTAGGAAATGGAAGCGCTTGCTTGCCAATATTTCGAACATAAAGAAAGAGGGCTCTGGTTTTTCTACAAGCTCAAGAAACAGTTAAAATTAATGTTCATTTATATAAGGAATCTTTGCTAAACATTTTTGTAAATGTTGATCTTTATTGCACTTTCTTGATCATACGTGTGTTTAACAATTTCTGGTGGAAACTTTATTTATTTATCTATTTTTAAGTAAAACTAGGTATGCAATCTTAACTATATTTGTCCAAATAAATATAAAGCATTCAAAATGTTTATCCGATTCTTGTGTTGAATATATGTTTGGAACAATGATCCTTTTTAAACAAACTTTTGCAACAAAGCAACCATAGTTTTGACGCTGATACTGGAAATAAAAAACTAGATCGTACTCACTTTGTTCAGGTCCGTTTTGTTATTTCTATAAATGATAAAGAATAAGTATCATAAAATAAAATCGAATCTCCAAACATTATTCGTTCAATTAACTCAATCATCCATCTTAAGCTATCAAACATAAGAAACTAAACAAATCATATCTTATATAGTGTTTTATATTATTGATATGGATTTCACCATTAGCAAGATTTCAACGCATAGATATATTTCTTTCATAAAAGTATAAGTCTTTAAGATTTCATTTTTCAGACATGACAGATGTTATCAGATGTAAATCATCATAATATGCGCTGTTAATACAGTTGTATTTTCCTTCAATTCACTTAATTGCCTATTAAAATTGACCGTTCAAAAAAAAAAAACTTCAGTATATTCTTTTAAGTATATAGAACCATACAACTTATGTCTTATTCTTTTTGGGTGTAGACTTTGATTTTACCATTTGCTAGACTGAACGCAAACATGTATTTCTCCTATACATTTAGGAATTTTAAATAAAACATCTTTACATTCCAAACAAAACAAATGACGATTGTTTATCTTAAGTAATCATCATAATTTTCGCCGTAAAGCATTTTCCTTCAATTTGCTTGCCGAAAGTAAATAAGTTCTGTAAATCAATTAAAATTTGCAACAATCCTTTTAGAATACATGTATATCAAATTTGTATCGCTGTAAATTATTTGCTGGCTGCATCATTCCGTGCACAAGAAATCATCATGATTACATCACTGACAACATACTATTCGACCAGACTTTAACAAGCTACGACGTGCTACACACCAGAAAAATGTTTAGAACTACACTGGCTGCGTCAATACGCACCAGGACTTCCACTGGCTACAACATGCTATGCACCAGGACTTCTACTGGCTGCAACATGCTATGCACCAGGACTTCCACTGACTGCAACATGCTATGCACCAAGATTTCCACTGGCTACAACATGCTATGCACCAGGACTTCCACTGGCTGCAACATGCTATGCACCAGGACTTTCACTGGCTATAATGTGCTATGCACCGGGACTTCCACTGGCTGCAACGTGCTATGCACCAGGACTTCCACTGGATGCATCGTGCTGTACACCAGACACACCCTGAAAACTCTACTTGCGTCACATACGCAGCAACATCAACTTACTAACTTCACTGGCTGCAACGTGCTATGCACCAAGAACATAATTATAAATCTACTAAATGAGGCATACTAAGCACCAGGATTACTAAAAAGATCACTGTGCATTAAATGTATCTTATATACTGAATCTTCATGTGCAGTAAAACCAAAACTTCATAACTGTGCAAAAATATAACTATTTTATAAACTTCTATTACGAAATACAATTAAGTACTGTTTTTCCATTATACTATATAAAGAATTTTTCACATGTAATTATTTAACGACTTTTAGATCACTATTCATTTTATATTCTGCGACAGTGTGCATGGATATTATTTTTATAACATTTTAAATTTCTTACGCCTTTAAAGCGGCATTTCCATGTACATCTGATTTTCTAATTTTAAACGAAGCAGTATTATATTTAACACAGATAAAGTATAATCACAACCGTTCAATGTTCAATGTAGATACAAATACAGGGTCTTGAGCCTTTAGAGCGGCATTTCCATGTACATCCGATTTTCTAATTTTTAACGAAGCAGTATCATATATACAAAGTAACACAGATAAATTATAATCACAACCGTTCAATGTTCAATATAGATTCAAATACAGGGATATAAAAACGTCCCTCATTCAAAATTTATAATTCATTACGATTATTTCAAAATAAAACCTAAAATAATAATAGTTAAGATATTCCTATTTAAGACGTTCTGGTATTCCAAAAAAAAAAATTATATATACAATTTTATGCTTGTGTGTTCTTGAAAACTTAGACTGCTATCTATACACTAAGCTAAATCAAAAAGCTCCTCGACACGTAACAACTTCAACCGACGTTTACTTGTTTTCAAATATCGCATATCTTTTGAAAACAAACTGCAAATTAAATTTTATTTGCGTCGTAGTGCTGATGAGTGAAATCTAGTTTGTTCAAGTCGTGTCCAAAACAATATGATATGGCTAATTATAAATATCAATACGTTCACAGTTGAATCAAAATTTGACTGTGAAAACCTGAACACAATCAATCGTATTCCATATAACCTCATTATAATATTTTACTGAAATATATAGTATACTCGGATATTTATCATTAGACCAGAAAAGAAAGTCAACAATATAAAATAAAATTTCTTAACTGTTTGAAAGCTTTTTAAAAAATTTCAAAGAGATAAAATTAATCCAGAGCTTTTCCCTTCTATCTTTCATTTAATAACGAGAAAATGAAATGATTTCATTTACAAGCAATAGGCTTTTGTATTTTTGATTGATAGTATTTAAAATACATCTATCTTATATCTAGAGGTTTTATCTAGAGTTTGTTGTTTTCCATGTGAAGCTGAGTGTGTTGCAAAGAGAATCTGTAAAAATTAAGCTGAATTATAATCTCCCGACCTAATTTAACTTAGTTGAGATATCAAATCCAAATCAGTCTTTAAGGGTTTGTTAAATAAGCATACATGTACATATGTACAAATGCATTCATACAGTATATCGAAGCCTGCTGTAGATTCTAGCTACCCTCTCATAATCATAAGCGAAATCATTTATCGAAGTGGTACATATTCTGTTCGTTTAAATGAATGTCATACTGCCCTATAAACAATTAAAAAATGGTTTGTATATTCTCCATCATCATGATACTGATTGTATAATTATTATGCTGACTGTTAAAAAGAAAAAATACCTGCGTTATGCTTTACTGTTTACAAGTTATAAATTTATATTGTATACAATAAAATGTTTCACGTAATAAAGTGACTTGAATTCAATTGTATTCAAAACGTTTTCATTATAAATAACTTAAGTATTATCGAAAATACTTATCTTTTACTTCAATGACCATTATGTACTCTCTGCTTATGGATGTAAAATCTGTTGAACTGTTCAGGCGATTCTGGACCTTTGTCTTCCGATGAGCAGTGGAAAATTCTAAGAAGATAGACATAGGTGAAATAACTTATCGAAAAGGTATCTTGTCTGTGTTTACTTTCATTATGTACTTTTATTTTTACAATAATAAACGGGGGATAAATTAATGCCGCGTTCTTGAACTTGAACCTTAATTATCACCAAAAACTGAAAACATTATTTTTAAAAACTTATCTTCCGCTTCAATGGCCTTTTTTTACTCTGTTTATGACTGTGAAATCTCCTTTGACTGTTGATGTAACGAATGCTGGACTTCTCGTCTTTTGTTGAGCCGTGAAAATCATAACTTCAGGTATACATGTACGTATCTAAGGTTTGAGGATTCTCGGTCTGCATGCGCTATTCTGGATACTTCACCACGAGAACTGTGTTTAATGAACCGTCTCTGTATTTTCGATGGTAAACTGAATGTTTGAAGAGAATAGATGTCTTTGTCGAATGCAATGCCATATAAAATTTGTAGACTGGTTGTATAGAATCGACTTTCCAAACAGGGATGGGCCCGTCTCCGTACAATTTTTGTCATTAGGAAGTGTACGTCTGAATGTCGCAAAGCAAAGCCTTCGAATGAGTTAAAATCGTGATTAAAGTGAATACCTGTTCACCCGTTCTACAGGTATCGACCTTTAAATACTGACCAATAGCTACTGTCGCTATTATTAGCACATAATAAACAAAAGCACGTGTTCCTAGTACATATGATAAATAAATCAACATTTACTGGGGGTCCATAAATTATCACACTGTTGCAGTTTTTAATGTCAATACCCATGCCAAGGGCATTAGTTGCTATTACTATTCGAAGGGAGTTGTCATTACAAAGTTTGTCTATTATTTCTGATTTGCAGTGGGATGGAGTTTCGGAATGAAACATTTCCACAAAGTTAGCACTATCAGGAATTTCACTGGTTAGAAAGTTATACATCAATGAGACATCTTTGATTGTGTTGCAGTAAATAATACACCTTGGAAACTTAACTTTCAGGTTATTTAAAGCTTCCATAACCCAAAACATAGCGGATTCCATAGAATTTGGAATCTTGTTGACAATGAATTTAATATTTTCCTTATTTGGTGACAGTCTAATAGATTTTATAGTTTTTTTATCAATACCCAATACATTAAGCACTCTTTTTTCAATAATTTTTGTGCAGGTAGCACTTAATGCTAATAATACAGCATTTGGAAACATGGAGCGCAATTCTCCTAAGTGCCGAAACCATTTCCGAAAAGCTTCCTCTTCATTTCCCATTCCTCCCCTGAAAATAATCCAATTCTCTCTTTGTAATATATTTTAAGTTTCTTTGTCGTTTATTTACATAGGCACATTTAAGGACAGATGATACAAACAAAAAAAGGATGCCTGGATTGGAATAATTATATTTTTAGCTCACCTGAGCCAAAGGCCCAAGTGAGCTTTTCTAACATGAAACAAGTTGTTATTTTCAAATTCTTTGACAAAAATTTGTTCGTATAATCTGTCCTTATTGTTAAATGTAATATAATATTAAACAATCTTTTTCGTAGTGCAAGTTTTTCAAAAAATGTATTTAATTTTCTTCTAAAATATGATTGATACCACACAGTCTTTAAATTCATCTTTATTTTACACATAATCACACTTCATAAAAAACATACCATGTGGCAATAGTATGGAATTCATCAATAACAATAAGACTGACATCAAGTTTCTGAATGATTTCCCTCCTTTGCACATTTCCAACGAGCAACTCTGGTGACCCATAAATAAGATCCACATCACAATTTGATATTGCAGAATCAGCTTCAGGAGAACTACCTAATAAAATATTTATTGAAAGGATTTAATATGCCTACCTGTAGTGCTAAAATTCATTGAGGTAAGTTAATGATCCTAGAAAATGTATAATATTCTGTGAGTGTAAGGTGATTTGTAATTCTTGTTAAATCTTCAAAAAATATATATCCATTGTGACAAAATTCAATGCAGATTTACCTTCTTTTTTGGAAAAAAAAATCATTTATTTAACAATTTAAATTTACATCCCATTAGGAATATTAGATCCCAAATGGGCTGTCATAACCCATTTTGGCAATGGATGCTAAACTTTTGCACATGACATCAAATCAAATGCAAACAGACAAACAAAAAAAACCTTCACTTGTAAACTGTACTTTGACACTAAGATATGTCCGACCAACCCAGTCTAGTAAATGACTGTTCCATGCCATTGGCACAGGCGGATTTAGATGGGACTTTTTATGTCAATACATAAGATTTATTAAATCAGGTTTTGGGGGGAGCGCCCCCCCCCCCCCGGATCCGTCACTGCATGCATTTACATGTACATAAATAGTAAAATGTAGGTTATCTTGGGTCATTGGTCGAATTGAGAAAATAAAACTATTAAATGAAATCACATTTTCAGTCTTGTAAAGTTAGTGTCAAACCCTGCTAAGTACTTTTAATTAATTAATTAAAAACATACCTAAATATTCTGCAGAAACAAGTGTTGTTTGTTTCAATTTATTCACTTGGTCCTCCATTATGGACGTTAATGGGCAACAAACTATGACTTTGCTGTTCTTCTTTTTACTCCAATCATCACCAAGAGCCCGAATTACTGGTAAATAAAGTTGATATGGGAGAGATTTTCCATACCCGGTAGGTAAAATAGCGAGGCAATTGTTATTATTCAGAATAGTCTCCAATATTTCGACTTGTTTTTCTTTAAGACTGTTTATTTTTGTTTCTTTCAAGACGACATGGAAAGCACGTTGATAATCCGCCATTTTCATTCTAATACCGACCGTTTTCTAATACGTGTTATCTGATTGGTCAATATTTTCTTATGAATATGCAGACTCAAAGTTCACTCAGAGATTGACCCTTATGAGAGTTCTTCAGACCCTACTAACGAAGTGATATAGTAGGGGCTGGCTTTAGTCAGACTGCAAGGGGCCAGAATGTCACATCGTTGACGCTTTATATCTCGAAAAGGGGGATATTTTGATAAGTAATATTGAACAAAAGATGGTCAGAATAATGTTTTAAACAATATGCACACTTTGAATTTTTGTAAAACGGCCCCATTAAGGACTTGTAGGAGTGGCCCCTAAATATTTCCATTTAGCATGTCTCCACAACGAATAGAAATCTCTGAATAATTGTTGAACAAAAAATCTTCAAAATCACAAGACCTTTCATTTGATATCAAGAAAAAGGGGCTGAACCCTCAAATTAGGGGCTCAGAGGGGCCAATATTCTTTTATCTATAACTGTAATGATCAATATTTTTTTTATACATTACTGGGGCAAAAGTATTCATCTTAACGATTTGCAACAAATTATGATAATATTTTTATCATATTTAACGTAATTAGGGGTCGCAAGGGACCAAAATGCTATATTTTTTATCCTTTATGTCTCGAAAAGGGGGAGTATTCTCATAAGCCTTATCAAACAAAAGAAGTTCAGAATATCGTGATAAAAATGAGAAACTTTAACTTTATAACTAGGGAAAACTCAATGTCATTCTCTTTAAACAAATATCTCAGTCAAAATCACATCTCATCTTATCGAGAAATTCAACGGAAGACCTACTCGTTGCTTGCAACGAGATCTCATCTAGTTATTATTATTATCCTTTTTACTTTTGTACAAGTTTGAGAAAAAAGACCTTTGTTCATCCAGAATGGCAGACCGGTCTGCAATATGATTACCATCTGAGTTAATTAATTCAGATATTGTTTTATTTACATAATTTCTTCTTTCTAATTTACAAAAGTATTCAGAATTTTTTTCACCCATTTCATACCAGGTAGCTTTTGAGCGTAACATTAAAGCCTCTATATAGTTCGACCTAGAATTTTGTAAAGTTTGTTTTTTTTCTTCAAGTATCAAAATATCTTCTTCTTTTCCTGAAATATTGACTTTTTCTTCCAAATCTAAGATTTCTTTTTCTAATTTTTTCCTCTCTAGTTTTTGTTTTTTGGACCTTATGGAAGAATATTCTATTGTTAAGGATCTGATTTTCATTTTCAAGACTTCCCAGAAAAATTAATTACTTATACTAAATTGAATACTCTCCCTTTGTTCAATATCTCCTGATATCATATATTCTTTCCCAACCGATATTGTTTTTACTCTGTTTCTTATTATTATTATTATTATTAAGGTCTTCTGTCTTCACGGAATTATTAAGGTCTTCCGTCTTCACGGAAGACCTTATAGTGATTCTACTGTTTCTTATTATTATTAAGGTCTTCCGTCTTCACGGAAGACCTTCTAGTGATTCTACTGTTTCTTATTAAGGTCTTCCGTTTCCAACGGAAGACCTTATTGTTTTCGTTCGGTTTCTTTTTCCCTATTATTATTATTATTATTTTTTTTCTTACCGATTTTTGTGCAAGCCAGTTCTCGGAAACGGCTGGGTCGATTTTCACGAAACTTTCAGATCTGATAGATATTGGTCTGAACCTTATTGGAAATTTTTTATAAGTACGTCGTCACTTCCGGTCGTGAGATATGGACGATTTACTGATTTTAAGAGGGTCAGCTTGTCCGGGCAATCACTAAAAAACGAATGAAGATATTGAATTGAAATTTTCAGTGAAGATAGAGGAAGGATTGGTAAATTGCTTTTTTGAGTCTATATCTTTCCAGCGCAAAAGGCGTTGAAGCTCGCTTGAGCTCGTTATAATTATTATTTTTCTGACCATCAAATTTTGTGCGCGTGATTTCTCGAAGACTACTGGATTGATTTTTATGAAATTTGCTGGAACAATGTGTTGCTATCTGCAGTTATTATATCCTGGAAATTTTTTGGAAATTCCTCTCTGGTGCCAAGTTACGGACAATTTTCTGATTTTAAATTGACATCTTGTTCGCGGATTATCTAAAGAACGGTAAAAGATATCACTGTGAAACTTTCAGGGATTATAGATCGTGATAAGTACTATCGAAGACGCGATCTTTTGTACGTCGTCTCTACTTCCTGTCGTAACGGCATGCAAAGAAAAAAGTCAAATTTTTGAACTTTTTTGTTTTTCAATATTTTCAAATCATATTTGTATGGTTGATAAAAACATTTCTCATTAGGCTGAATATATAATTTGTTTGTAAATTGATGAATTCGAACCCGAGATATTAACATTCAAAAGTCTGAAGCGGGATCTTAATGGCGGCGGTCTCTGTCAATTCCGACATTTCGCAATAGGGGTTTACAGAGGCAGCCGAGCGTTTGCTTGAACGAAAGTAACATAAGGAGCAATGAAATGTGTAGGGATACTTGGATTGTCACGTCGTAGGTTCGTTGCAATTCGGTGTCAAACTACATTTACTATCCAAGGTCTACTTACAAGTCTTCTTTAATTGGTTTTGGTTGTTTCTCAAAGTAGAAATAGAAAAGAGTTAATGTGCAAATGAAGTACAATATCTGTATCTTTTGTTTTGCATCACGGTAACACATAGCTTAAATCATAGTTATAATAAATAGTTTTTCAAGAATGTAGTAAGTAAAAAACGTGACTACTGTTTTCTAATGCACACTTGTGTCATATTAAATCAATAGGAAGGACAACTGTTACAATAAGAAAATATTTTATTTTTAAAGATAACAATTTTTCAAAGACTGTTTAATTGACCTATATAAACATTTAATTTTCTCAATGCAAATTATTGAACATAATGGAATCTTATTTCTTGACCCTCGTAAGGGGATCGAGGCATTTTTTCGGTGAAAATTACCACCTTTTTCATGAAAGTGTAAGTAATCGGAATAGTCAACTTTCGTGATTGAAAATTGAAAAATTAACCATTCATAGCTGTTTCACTGCTTTAGTGTTATTTGCCTATATACGATTGATTGATTGATTGTATACTGTTTAACGTCCCTCTCCAGAATATTTCACTGATATGGAGACGGCACCATTGGCGGTGAAGGGCTGCAAATTTAGGCCTATGCTCGGCACTCAGGGCCATTGAGCAGGGAGGGATCTTTATCCTGCCACACCTGCTGTGATACGGGGCCTCGGTCTATACCGTCTCATCCGAAGGACCATGAACATTCCAAGAGAAATTCGCTAAGATTTACTCGTTGCGTTTGGCGCGAAATTATGAATAGTGACCCTTCTTTCATAATTCCAAGACAGATTAACTGTTGCAGAATTATATGTACATACAAGTGAAGTAAGAGTAGTTGTTCAAATAGCGTAATCGATAAGCGTATTGGATTTACACGCTAGTGACCCGTTTTAATTACCAGTGTGTCCAAAATATGTTTAATCCATTTTCAGCTCGATTTTATGGGTTATTTTTCGGAATCGGACGGAAGACCTACTCGTTGCTTGCAACGAGATCGTTTCTAGTTATTATTATTATTATTATTATTTTTTTCCCCAAAATTTTGTGCAGGCGATTTCTCGAAAACTGTTCGGTGGTTTTCTATGAAACTTTCAGGAATTATGCGTCATTATATGAACTTTGTTCATCAGAAGGAAAATTTGGAATACTCACCTTCGGTTCCAAGTTATTGACAGTTTTCTGATTTTAAAATGGATTTTTGTCCCCCCTTTTTTACGAAAACGGTCTAAGATATAAACTGGAGACTTGTTAGAGATAATAGATGATGACTTTTAGATATGTGAAATCACCTTTTCGTGTGTCGTTAGTACTTCCGGTCGCTAGCGGAAGCGAATTTAAAAAGTCCGTATTTTCTAACTTTTTTGTTTTTCAATATTTTTCATTTATTTTTGGAATGTTAATAGAAACCGTTCTTATAATGCTAACTATATAATTTGTTTGAACATTCATAAATCCTAACTCTAGATATTAACATTTAAAAATCTGAAGCGGGTCCAATATGGCGGCTGCCTATGTCAACTCCGACATTTCGCAATAGGGGTTTTCAGAGGCAGCCAAGCGTTTGCTTGAACGAAAGTAAATAAGGATAAATGAAATGTAAAGGAATACTGGGATTATCACGATGTAGTTACGTTGCAATTCTGTGTCAATCTAAGTTTAAATCGATGGTCGTCTCAAACGTCTTCTACAATTGGTTTTGGCTGGTTCTCAAAGAAGAAAAAGAAAAGATTAAATGTGCAAATGAAAAACATACCTACTATCATTTGTTTTGTGGAAAAACAGATCTTAAATCATAGTTACAAATAATAGTTTTAAGAAACAATATCGATGTATATAGTAAGTATTAAACGTATCCACTGTTTTGCTCATGCACACTTGAGTCAAATTAAACTATTAGGAAAGACAAACATAGTAAAACTATTTTTTTTAGAAGAATTGAGTTTATATTAATATTCTTGTCTCAAAGATGGATTTAAGTTATTGAACATAAATGGTATCTGATTCCTTGGCCGTCTTAGGGCGACACGTGCTTTTCGGCGAAACATTTCAACCTTTTCATGAAAGTTTAACTAAAAGGGACAGTTCAGTATGGGGATAAACAGAAAATTTTTAAAAGTAAAAAAATTATAGCAGTTTCGCTGATTTGGTGTTACTTATCTATTTATGCATAGAATTTGTAAATGTGTTGAAAACAATTTCTTTACCTTGAAATTTTAGCTATTAGAACGTTCTTTTTTATTTCCATTGAAGCTATCACACCTATTTAATTGGACATTCCAAAGAAAAGGCGCGAAGATTTACTTGCGGCATTTGGAGCAAAATTATTAATAGTGACCGCCTTTCATTATTCTAAGACAGATGTACTGTTTCAGAAGTATATAAAAGTAGATTTAGAGCTGTGGTCCCAATAGCGTGATAGTAAGCGCTT